CACAAAGTATTAAAAACTTGGGCAATGATACTAAAAAGTTTAAATCAGAGTTAAAGAATTATCTACATGCTCATTCCTTCTACTCTTTAGATGAATACTTCAATGTAAATAGAGAATGATGTAAAATTAAGTTATATTAATTTTTAAGCTAAAATTGCCTGTACTTATGTATGTAACCTTTTGACATGTTCTGTATCCAAAGGTACTAACCTGCTTAGGATTTATAGAATGTAAATAAATTCAATTCAATTCAATTCAAACATATCTGTAAATTTGTAATCAAAGTGTACTACATTTGGTGAAGAACTCTGGGATAGATGCCCTGGAGCTCCATGTACGTCTCCAGGTATGTTGGTCCTTGATGCCTTTCATGGACATACATCTGAAGAAATTATGGTTAAACGTTACAGGAAGAATTGTGACCTGGTGGCGGTTCTTGGTGGCATGACAAGCCAAATTATATCACTCAGCATTTTGTTAATATAGCAGTTAAGATTATTTATGAAATGAATCTGGGGCCTAGCTGCCATTTGAAATCCTTCTGGTAATGCTATATGATACAATCAAAATTTTCAGAAGGTGCCTCGGCTGCTTGGCAGAAGATTGTAGGAAAAACAATGCAACATTCGTTCAAGAAATGTTGCATTATAAATGCACCTGATGACCCAGAAGGTGATATATCATGGGACAACTCTGATCTTGACTACCACAATTTTAAAAAAGGACTTAGAGGAATCTGTAGGCTCAAAATGTGAGACCAGATGTAAAAGTGAAGAGACAGAGAAGAGGTAAATTTGTTCAGTTTAAATTTTCTGTTTTGTGTTTATCTGTATTTGTTAATTCAAAGAAGTTTTATGTTTGAATACTGAATCAAGGGTGCATCTGCTTAGTGGGGTGAGACTGAGTCCACTTGGTACTGCAGCCACCACTGGCCCCCTGTACCAGCTCTGGATGACAGATGATGGTGACTGTGGAGCAACTGGTGGAATGATGATTGGCTGGGGAAACTGAGGTACCCTGTGAAAATCTGTCCCAGTGCCACTTTGTCCACCACAAATCTCACATGACCTGACCTGGGCTTGAACCTTAGCTGCCATGGTAGGAAGGCAGTGACCAACCACCTGAACTATGGCATGGACTCTGGGTGCATCCTAAGATTAATGGAGTCTTAGAATCAAATAAATATGGTAAGTACTCTCATTATTAACACAATCTTACATTTAGGTTGTGTTTTATGAAGGGACAGCATAGTTGGTATAGTGATGAGGTCAAGAAAATGTGGAAAACGGCGTCGAATTGAGTGGTTGGGTTTACTGTTGATGAAGTGTATTTCCAATGTTGTGTTTCCGTGAGTTTGCGGTTTTGCGATGGCTGGCTTGAGAGAGTGGCGTGTCTGTACGAGTAAAAAGTTTTGTTTTAAATTTGGGAAAACTGCTGCAGAAACGCACCAAATGTTGAAGCAAGCTTTTGATGACAACAGTTTAGGCCAGACACAAACTTAGGACTGGTATAAGTGTTTCAAAAATGGCCGAACATCGACTGATGATGACGATTGTTCGGGATGGCCATCAACGGGCAAAACACCAGAAAATGTCGCGAAAGTTAGGGATCTGATTCTGCAAGATCATAGACTGACCATCCAAGACCTCTGTAACACCTTGGGATTAAGTTATGGTACATGTCAACGAATTTTGTCAGAGGAACTGAACATGAGGAGGATTCCAGCAAAGTGTGTGCCACGACTGCTGCAAAATGAACAGAAGCAGCATTGCTTGGAAGTCTGCAGGGAACTTCAGCAACAGCTTCAAGAGGATCCAAATGTTCTTCGAAGGTTGTCACTGGTGATGAAAGTTGGGTTTATGGCTATGACCTTGAAAGCAAGCAGCAATCGTCGCAATGGAAGAGCCCTTCTTCACCTCGGCCAAAAAAAGCTCGACATGTCAAGAGAAACATTGAGTCATGTTGATCTGTTTTTTATATTGACGCGAGTGTTCATATGGAGTTTGTCCCTCCTGGTCAGACAGTCAATAAAGAGTTCTTCGCGATGTTCTAAGGTGTTTGAGGAAGGACATGTGGAGAAACCGTCCAGAGAAGTGGCGCACGAACGACTGGGTACTCCACCATGACAACGCACGACCACATACGGCGTACATGGTGCAGGAATTTTTGACTAAAATCAAGATGGCAGTTGTTCTCCACCCACCGTACTCTCCAGACTTAGCTCCATGCGACTTCTTTCTCTTCCCCATCATGAAAATCAAGTTGAAGGGGCGAAGATTTGATACAGTTTATGAAATTCAAGTGGAAACGCAGACGGTACTAAACACCCTAACAAAGAAAGACTTCCAGGATGCATTTCAAAAGTGGCAGAAATGCTTGGATTGGTGTATTCGCTCCCAAGAGGACTACTTTGGAGGTGATGGTGCAGAATAAGATCTAGGTAAGTTGTAATAGTTTTTATTAATATATTTCGGGAACTTTTGCATAGCACCACTGAGAGCTTTCTGAGTTACCACGGTTAGGCATTTTAATAAAATTTGTTTTAAACAATTTCTACTTTAACTTTCAACAAGCTTTATGATAGTAGGAAATAAGTAACAAACAGAAATAAGAGAAAAATAAACTCTGGAAATGCTTGTCACTACTCAGTCAGCAAACTGTAGCTCTGTCCAATTTCCAAAAGGTTAAGAAGTAGGGTAAATGAATGAAACATGGTATCTTACGTGTATTTTGAAAGAAGAACATGAATAACATATGTCCGAGAGCAATTTGGATGTTAGAGTACAAGTATAACAAGAAATGCTGTTATTCATACATGTACTTGTCACCTAATGCTGTCAAGCGTCATGACGTCTAGAAGAACATGGGATGCTGGTAAGACTGAGGAAACAAAGAATACATAGCGAAGTCTGATCAGGAAATCTCTTGGGTAATGAACACTGATATGGTACACCACAGCCCACAGTTCTCATCTCACATATTAACATGGATGGAGTGACACTGAAATTTCAAGTTATGCATTATAAAAATACTGTTAGACTTACAAGTGTAAGTTTTTGTTTCTTTGTAAGCTCGCTACCAAGCTTGAGGTCAGCAGCTATTCTCATGGCCTCGTGCACCGAGAGGTGTGGCTGTACCAGGTCCTGCTGCATTATGTAGCGAGACATCTTCTGAAACTGGACCATGTTCCGTGGCTGCCCATTTACCAAGACGCTTCCTGTAGCTCCTGCATATCTGTAATGGTATACAAACGGTTCATTAGTTCCTTCCTACATGCACCTAGGCAATGGAAAGTTGACATGACACTGAATGCTGACGACAGTTTAAATCTATTTATGCATCTCAAATTACTGCAATGTAATATTACCAGAATAATAAACCAGTTTTTACCTGCATTACGGATACTTTCATTATCATAATGTTTAATAGCTGAAATTTTAGAGAATAAATACGACAAAGTGTTGTGTCTACTCATGCATAAGTTTCGAGGTTTCCACACAAGTATATGTTCCTTCTTCAGATACAAATTTTAACCTGAACATGTTCCTCCAAACCACTGGTATCCATCCGAAGGACTACCTGGTGTCACAACCCCAGAAGACCACAATGTGTATATTCATGTGTTTAAAATAAATAAGGCCGTAAATGAGGATTTTAATTGTATCCAAAATTCTATTGCAACCTCTAACATCAGTTTTACACTTGTTCTACCATACACATTGACATGGGTAAAGAGAGAGTGGTCCCTGTTTACACATAATTTTTGTCAAACCGGCTTGACTGGTTCATTCTATCCCTGCTGGTAATTCTCTGTACCCCAAGTGTGGGATCACAAGGAACAATTTGACGATTCCATACTTAAAGCAATGCAACGTGAAACTGATTTCTAATAGTACAGTCAGATCAAGACATTTCATGTTCGAATGACTCAGCTTTTAAATTGTGAAAACCACGATCTTCTATTGCAGTTACAGCAAATACATCAAATATATATATTTTTTCTGTTACAATGTGCCACACTTTCCCCTACTGCTTATCGTTTATGAAGTCCAGACCAAAGACCTTAACGTTTTGTAAACAAGGCCATAGCGGTAGAGTCGGGAAAGTTTCAACGAAACTTCGGTAATAAAAATAAACCTTCCTTTCAGTATATGGTAAAATATAAAGATCTATAAAAATAAACACAACTCAGTGTAAATGTCTACCACGTGCTACTAGTTGTACGTCATAAGGGAGCTAGGAAAATATCAAACGAACGGAACTTGTGCTACACAACGCGGTAACAGAGATACACATCTATCTGCATGTGAAAATTTCTACTAGAGGATCAGCAGACTGGAAACAGCAGAAAATCTTGTGAGAAAGTTCACTTCCTTTTGTTTAATTATTTGTGGGAAATGAGTATGGACAAGGAAAATGCGTTTCACTTTTCCTTATAATCTGTATTCGAAATGTTTCGCTCCGACAAATATTCATCGAGTTAGTTCGAGATGGCATGAAGGCATTCATGTTAGCGTTCGGTATGCTGCACGAGCTCAAGGCAAATTGGAAATCGGCTGACAAACTTTAGTGAAACTCGTGAAAATCCGTTCACAGGCACTCGAGTTGTGCACAGCTACTCCACGACGGACGTTCGACCCCCGGCAGGGGGTGAGATTTTTTTTTCTTCACCAATGAGTCCAGATAGGCCCTTGGTCCCATGCAGCCCCTTGTCCTGTGGGCCATCGGAGCCTCCTACCCGGGCGAAAGGCGATCGGGGCGTCATCTAGTGCAGAGAGTACGAATACGTGTAACTTCCAACACGCTTACATGGAGTTGTGTTTATTAACCCCCTAAAGCACATTAGCAACTGCAAGTACCACCACTGCCAACACAAAAGAGCTTTACATTTTGCACGATTCCAACAACGAACAGCGTTTCTTTCCCTAAATCGGTTGCTCGGCGCAGGACAGTCTGTTTACTTCGAGTTGCATACATACTGTCATGTGTATGGAGTGTGGCTACAGACGGAGTTTGCATTGATGTTCGGACTTACTGGACTCCTTGATACAGCGCGCGACTACAAGTTACAGTATACTGTTAAAAACACAGACACACTAGTGTCCACAGTCACGTCTTCACTAGCCGTTGCTTGGTAGCGGCTACAACGGGTAGGACGTTCCCTCTCCTCTGGGTTCCCGGCCGCAGCTACAGCAAATCTCGACTAATTAATTGACCGCCTCTATACTTGTCCTGCTTGTAACATTTCGGAACGGACCGCGTACAAAACACCGCTTCAAATTATTGTTGAATCCAACTGTTGCCGTGGAAACACGCTTGCTTGCGAAGCCGTTACTCAGTGACGGATATCTCTGGTGTCTTCGCAGTTCTTGCCTTGATCAAATATGCCACTATAAATTTCCGTCTCAAATTCAACTTATTACATTGTCCCACTCCTCTATCATCACATGTTTCGGTCTACATGGCTATCATCAGGTGCTGCCTATCTTGGCAACAATGTTTCATTGTACGCTAAAATTACATATGGCATGTGAACGCGAAGTTGATATTAATTAAAATATAAAGTTTGAATTGAGATTGGAATTAATCTGTACACACACAAACCAAGAAACAACACGAGCAGTCCAAGAGCGTGGTAAAATCTACAAGTCATTCTAACATAACCACTGTCACGTACCGGGTTAGCGTGACGAATAATAATGGGTTCTGGATTTGTTGCTTGACTTTGCTGGCGCTTTCTTACAATTACAGCTGATTACAACAGCTCACACATTGAGTGCCTTCTGAATTCCCTTACGGATGAATAACGGTTCTTGCCTGACGAGTGCTCTGAAGAATCTCTGACTGCCATGACTCAGAGTCACTTTATGACTGGCGCTTTACAGCCAATCATTTAGTCTTGGCGACAAGCCCCTTTAGACTCACGACCAGTATTTGGTCGTAATCCTTATGTAACATCCTCTCATGAGAGGATGGGTATGTCGTTACAACTGCTGCTGGCCCTCGCCAGTGCAGATGAAACCAAGCACAGACCTAGGCTATTCACGAGACGAACTGGGCATACGTGCAGTAAAAACGATTGCCACTTGCCTGTACCCGGCCAGAACGTTCAGCAGCGTGCTCTTGCCAGCCCCGGAAGGGCCTAGAATGGCTGTGAGTTGTCCAGACCTGAAGAGGCCGCTCACGCTTCTCAGAATGATCTTCTTTCCTGCAAAAAGGTACCAAGTCACGATGAAGTAAACGTGCAGTTCTGGATACAACAGAAAGCCTCCCGTTCTCCTGCACGGACTTCACTGTCCTCAAATACCGTGTTGCTCTGTTAATATAATGCAAATACATAACATTATTGTTGTTATAATATGTAGGCACTGCTTTATTTACTGCGACATGTTTCGGTCATGCATGACCATCAGCAGGCAGGAGGAATACGTAGTTATTGAAATAGCGATACGGATCCTTATCGGTGCAACGCGTCGTATTAAATATTAACATAACAATTTTGCCTCAGATTGGTGTATAGTTAAAAGAGCAAATACATGATTAAGAATGAAAGAATATTGTTGTTGTTACTGTTGTATGAGAAGATCTCACTCCTTGAAGAATGCCGTCTTCTGGGATGTGGAGCTGTGTAGATCTTGTGTGAACCGAAGTTTCGGAGGAACGTATCGTCTCCATCTTCAGGGTACAAAAATCCGCGAGCGAGGAAACAGCGTGAGCAGGTTCACACAAGATCTACACGGCGCCACATCCCAGAAGACCGTGTACTTCACAATCACCGCTGTGATAACCTCAAATCTGACACTACTCACTACTTAAGTTTGACGACAATAACCTCAAATTTCGCAACAGTCGCTTAACGCTAGGGAGGAGAGGAACATCCACTGTTTGAAGACGTTACCAAGCAACGTGGTGAAGACCGTGACTAAGAATGCTAGTCTTTGTAAAGAGTAATTTTCATTTCGTGCATCCTGTTTTGTTACTATATACAATTCTTTATTAGAGTCCGTCGCAACACAACAATACAATGTTCAAGGCTAAAACTAGCTTCGCTACATGTTTCGGCTATTAAAACCATCACCAGGCAAACACGTGATTACCAAATTCACACGGCATTTTCCGCTGGGGAAACTAACCAAACCTACTCTGAGAAACTTCATAGAGAACTATACACAGTGCGCAAAAAATACGTGAAGCAGTGTTACGATCTTACAGTTGAAAACATTAGAGATAACTGTTCGTAAAGTTATATTTCCAAATGTGACACATTTGACTTGATCTGCCTTGCCAATGGGTTGTGCCGTGTTGCGGAAACAATTCGTGCAAACTGTCTTCTGTGAAGGAGGTATTTGTTAAAGCACCATATAGAAAAGAAGCATTTAAAGCAGTAGCACCGAACGTTCCACTTCTGTCGGAGCCACTATTAACGCACTGGGCACGTGGCTGTGAGCTGTTACACCGAACATTCAGAAACACTTAGGAATGTCGTGAATACCTTTGACCCCAAAAGTTCAACTTGAATTCAAATTGCCCAAAGTGTACGAAAGAGGTATAACTAGAAACTGATCTGCCATATATATCTGCTCACTTCTCTCATCTTCCATCCACCATTTCCTCACTGGAGGCAAGCAATAGCAATACTACTTTGTATCAATCGTTAAGTGTATTCAGAACCACTGTTTCTGAATTGAATTCGGTTCCTGGAAGAGTGGGTGAAGCAGTGAAAGAGAAAGAACACAACATTCTTTAAAAAAAAACCGAGGATATGAACAAATTTGTGAAACTGAAGAAGTTTTAGCCAATAAACGTACTATGACATGTTTCTCCGAAACGTCGGTTGACTTTCGACGGATTACGCGACATTATATACACCAGAGAACAGAACTCTTCATCGCTGTTGACAACCTCAAATCCTCCAACTGTTCCTTCTGCTTACGAAGCAGAAGTTTGTCGCAAGCAACTGACAGGGATTATGGTGACAACAGGGCCTTCCAGACAGGAGTCATGAAGTCTGCTTCCTTAGCACAGATTTTCAGCCCAGCAGACCCTGCTCTGGTCACGTCTATTCAGCGCATCAACTCCTCATCTAGCCTTTAGAGCCGCATACAAAGCACAGCAGTCGCCACAGCCAACAGCCTCCCTTAGGGCTTCCATCTCTACCCCACCCTTCGAGTTCCTCGGCTCTACGCCACGCGACTTCCCTTCGAGCTTTCTTATCGAATTCAAGTTCGTGAAGTCTCCACCAGCATACAGGCAGCTGAACTGTCAAAATTATTAGATTTCTAATCTAGGGTAAAAAGGTAAAGCTGTCAGGGGCCGTAAAGGCCCATACGGTTGTGAGATGTCGAGGCTCCCACATTTTCTAGACAATCGGCTCACAGATGGCGGTGAGGTTGTCAGCCTTATGGGCCGGCAGCCCTTTAGCCCCAGGAAGATTCCCGGTACTCATTTCTGTTACAGGCTGAGTCGACCCCAGGGCCATAGTGCGGTTAGAAGGATTAAGTCAACTGGAAAATCCAACAACCTCACCGAGAATCGAACCCACGATGTTCCGGCTTGTAGCATAGTGCCTCAATCAACTACGCTACGGCGCCCCTGTAATCCAGGGGCTAGGGGTTACTTCTGACAATGAAAACTGCGTATATAAGACAATACACCAACAGAGTTCGCTGAAATCAAGATACAAGTAAACCCCAAGCCTTGTGATTCAGACGACATATTAACATTTATTTTTACATGTCTTGCACTTTGAGTCCACTCGTAATGTGAATGACGCCATTGGGTACTTGTAATTTGCCGCAAGTTCCCAAATACACGCGTCAGCCAAATGCTGCATGATGTGTCACTGGGAGGTTTTATAAATATCTTCGCATCACCCAAGGGTAACTTATCGTGGAAACGGAAAAATACAGTGACCTCCTTCCAAGTTCTTTCCAGATAAGTCCTCCCACTTTCGGCCCAAACCATCCGCTGATCACTTAACCCTAACCAGCACAAAGTTCGTGTAAACAATTTAACCTCTCTACTTATTACCTTACAGACAACATGTGCCATCTCACAGAAGAGGCTGGTCTGGCAGTGCCAATCTGCAAAGAATTCGGGAGGTGCTATGTTCGGATCTCGGCTGAGACAATGACTATAATCAAACGTCTTTCGTGATTTTCCTCAGTCCCTCCGGTAAAATGCTGGAATGTCACCTAGATCAGGCCACGAACGCTTCAATTCAGATCCTTTCCAATTCATCATTCGTCTACCGTCCTGACTGAGGAAACACGGCGTCCTCATTATAAAGAACAAGAGATAATGTCATTTCAAAAATAATGGATGTTCGTTTGCCTCCATCTTCAGGAAGGCAATAGGTTACTTCCCGGTACTAGTACCGACACGTCAGTACCGACACGTCAGTACCCACTTATAAGACCAAAACTGAGTATTGTAATAAAAAAGTCCACGATATAAAAAGTTCGCTCTTGAAGCTGAAACTCATGAAAAATTCCCCTTGAATGTGACCCTTGGCCAATTTTAATAACAAAAAGGCACTTGGGTTCACTCGTCATGCACAAACCTCTTGTTACATTGTTTGGCACACACTGTTCATACAGAGAGGTACTTATCTGCAGTATTACGTCAGAGCATGCTTTGTCAAGTAATAAATAAACATGCAAACATTTTCCATAAAACTGCTGTACGCTGTCTGACAAATAGCGTGATTGCATTTGCATGCAGCAGTGGGCTACAGCGGTGTCCAGCCTCTCGCAAACTTTCCTAATCTCTTCCGCGGTTTAAAAATGGAAGCATGCAGAAGTCGCACGGAACAAGGTCTCGTGATTAAGCAGGGCGTTCCATGACACAATCGGTCCTTTCGCTGCATATGACTGGGGAATTGCCACGGTGCAAATGTTTCAGGCCTCATGCGACAAGCCCGCTGTCTCAGACGTTCCAAAAACACGGGATCGGTCATGATCAGACTCTTGGTACACTACATAATGACACTGTATTCACTGGAGATTTCCACTGCACACTGCGCCGCTTGGCTTCAGGGTCACACCTGTCATCTTCAGTGATGACTCTGTTCAGCCCATCGTCATTCTCCTAGATTCAGAACAAACTCTCCTTCTCCGCTGCACCTGGTTCCTAGTTAGGTTCTCTGTCATAATCTTCATACAGATTTCCTTTATGCCTAAATTTTCTGTCAAAAGAACTCGAAAAGCCTCTCTATTCATATTCAGTTCCTGTGCACAATGCTCACATCACAGGCAAAGCGAGCAACCAAAGAAGGCAGACAGTCACAATTACTGTTAGCAGTGGCAGATCTTAAAATCCAGTGGAAAAAGAAAAGCAAAGAAGAGGTTCGCAGTTTCTGTCAAAACACCAAACGGGGCAGAGGAGGAAGCTACTTGGAAAGGTACTAGAGGAAAGGCTCGTCTCAGTGGTTCCGCGGGATAAAAATGAACAGTCTTGCCTTCGTGCCACACCAGTCTGAAAGCGAGCCTAAACAGATGTAACTTTGTGGCCACGGCCGAATGCGAGTGTGGTGATTGGCTGAAAACCGAGGAACGTATCTTCTGGGACTGTAAACGGTACGAGGACCTAAGGGCAGCACTGATGGACTGAGAATAACAAAAAAAGAACACTCAAAGTCAGTTACAGAGCTCGTAAGGCTAGAAGAAAAAAGATTTGTGCTGTTACTTCATAAACAGTATTCCTATATTTATATAAAACAGATATGTAACAAAAGTAAAAGACGTAAGTGTACAGATTATTAACAGTATACTCTCAGATTTAAGGTGAGGGGGGGCACTATGATAGAATAAGATGTTTATAAGACTGTGCTACTGAATGCCGGATGGGCACTGCCTTGGACTATTTTCATATTTACACTTATTTTTGGCAACAAAAACAGTGTTTCGCGTTGCTCAGTGTTGTCAGACTCGACATTTGCTACGTCACAGGAAGAAAAACGAGTGTTTGCTTGTCATGTAAATTTCTCATATTTTACATTCTCACGGTGGTTTTCCTGGCTGTGACGCCGTGCTGTTGGCTTTAGGGGCCTCTTCTACCGTACAGACGTAGACAGCAGGTCCATCAAGTCAACCAAACTACATGACGTCACATCCCAGGCGCCTCTAATAAAGTAACACTTCACGCTGTCATACTCAAACCGAACGCTCCGGTCGTGTGGTCAGGACCACCGACTCGTAATCGGGAGGT